AAGAAGGAGGAGTTCATTAAGAGCCTATCCAAGGAGGAGGAGACCAAGAAATAGTCTGGTTCTTTTTGTTCCACCTGACTGTGCCAGCTGTCAAGCGCTGATAATAAAAAGTGTACATAAAGACAGTTGCTGCTGTTCTTTCTTCTTTACAATGCATTTGAGCAAAAGGCTGGAAAGGTAGAAATTTATTAATTTATTTATCAAATAATCATTAATAGTGGTGATTTACTGAAAGAATATACTTAGAGCTAATATTGTCATTTTTTTAATATTGCAAAATGTTCTACCCCAAACTCAAACATCAGTTTTAGCTGATGTTTCAAATCCAATAAAAATCTCTTAAGCATCTTTTGCTTTCCAATTATTAACTAGTTTATTGAAAAACTAGTCACCAGATCAGCTCTACATTATTGATAGCTACAGATGCTTCCTTTGAAGTTTAGATAATACAATTTTTGTTTTATGTCGGGAAAGGAATTTAAAAGCTAAAGTGGTTAAAACAAAAATCTACTGAATGCCATTTTTAATTGATTAATGCAGCCCTCGATTATTATTAAAATCTGTTTTCTTTTTTTGGTAAATCTTAATGGGTCAATTTTATTTGTTTTTAAATCATTAGTCAAGATCAGTACAAATTTCTGAGAAGTCATGAATGTATCTGATTTTAAAAAAATATTTGCAGATCAAATTTTCTACGATTGAATATTGCTTCTCAATCTGCTTTGATTTTTAAAGCCTCACAAAACATTTGAAGTGGGAACTAAAAATAGTGAATCTTCATTGAACTTGTTTTTAGTTTATCAAGATTATCTTGGAATTTCATCTTCAGTGCAGATAAAGTTGGAACATTACGCAGAAGCTGTTCTTTCTGTTGTTCAGGTGGCTAAAAGAGACTCGCTATCACATTTTCCACATGAACAGAAGTTTTACGTGTTTAGCAAACACATTTTGTTCTTTTGCCTGGCTATAAAAATATGGGTTTCTATTTTGAGTTTATGAAATGTTTGCTAAGCAAAGCTGTGGTGAAGACAGGAGCAAATACTGTTAACAAGTGAGATTGTACAACCAGCTGTCCAACCATTACAGCTTTGTCTGTTTTCCTCCCTATGCATATTTAGTTTTTAAATCTATGATTTACATTGGGTAAAAGCCAATAGCACTTTACTCGTGTTTCTGTATTCTGTTTACTTTCTCAGTTGGAAGGGAGGAATACTGCAAGAGAAACATCCTTTATCCTCACTGAGTGCAGAACCACTATGGTTAGTCCAATGCAGTCTGTAATGTTTAGATGCCTAGAACGTCTTCTAATAATTTTTTTTTTAGCATTTTCAATAAAATAGAAATTAATTAACTGAGAATTACACTTTCAGAGCTTGTTTTAAGTGAATATTTCTTAATATTGATTTTAAAATGTACTAGTTAGTAGCATCTGAGGGTTTAATGCTATTCTACATTGGACCTTGCAGCAGAACAATTCACATAAAACATCCAAACTGGATTTGTAAAGGATCAAGAAGGCAAATCATTTCTTAAAGATTTGTGTTCTTAGCATAAAAGCCAAATCAACAGCAGGAAGATGCTCCAAATACGCAAACTACCATTTCTGCAAAGGTGATACATAAATTCATCCTCAAATATGACCAACTTGTTTGTTGTATTATCATTTTACTCAAAAATCAATTAATAATTCCACAATGTTAGGATTCCCATAATTAAAAAGGCATAATTTTAAACAGTGAAAGCTGCAGTATGTAACTTTTATACATTATTTACTGTTCTATGTGCTGATAGAGGAAAATAACAACTTACTGTTCCAGGAAAACGGTTTCTTCTCCTGGCTCTGATTGGTTGTCAGAAAAAGACAGTTTCAACTAATACATAAAAAAAATATTTTTAATAAAAGTTGCTTAGTGCAGTCTTAAAAAGTCAGTTCTTTTTTCTTTTTTGACATCTCAAGTTAAGCCTAGAAATATTATTAACAAGAGGTTATTGTAAATAACAGCTTGTAATGGCGTATTTATGCCCCTATAAACCAAATTCAAGGTTTCAGATGATGCAAGGTCAATTCTTTCATTGTTTTTGATGATATATGTCTATATACCATTTTTATAATCAGGAAAGGCAATACAGTCACTTGATTGTTCCTGGGAAATTCAAAATGCCTCCATCAGGCAAGAGTGTTTTACTTGCAAATTTAGAATATTTGCATCATTACGCAAACATACAAGGTACTGAATCTCTTATAACATCTACAGTATTTGACATACAAAGCAAATAAATCATTGACATGTTGTAGTTAAGATTGAGGGACATTCAAGGTTAATGGAGAATAGAAGACAACGCTGGCTGTAGTGTTTACTTCTCAAAAAAAAAAAAAAAGAAAGAAAAAGGAGCTGCCCATTACCCTGTTCTTCCTCCCAGTTCTGTTTCCCATAAAGTCTGGTTTCAATTCAATGAAGTGAATTTAATTTATTCCAAAGCTCCAGACATGTTGACTTCCCTCCCACAGTCCAAAAACATGCTGGGAAGGTTCACTGGTCTCTTCAATTGCCCTTTAACCTGAGAATGAGTTGTTGTTTGTCATCTGTTGCCCAGACAATCTATCTATGATGTAGCCCTTCTTTCACCCAATGATTACTTGAGTTCGGCATTATACCCTAGCAAATCAATACAGCACACACTAAACACTTTTATATTTAAAATTAGGTTTAAGCCTTCAAAATAGGGAGCAAGTTAACAAATAAATATTTATGTTTTGTGCAAATGGATCATACTTGGGTTTTGGTTCAAGTCAAATTTCCTCTGAAACATTTGTAAAAAACCTGCCAAATGACATAAAAAGCAGCCCAAATTTGACCAAAGCTGTTGTTTTCCTCAGCCAATGTGTTCAAAAGCAGCCCAACCTGGCAACACTGAATGGGACCAGAACAGATCCGTCATGTTCCCCAAAGGGCTGGTCAGCTGAATCAGACATTACCCCATTTAGAAAAACAGAAAGCAAGTCTGGAATTACTTCAGTATGGATAGGATGGACCACTATCCACAATTACAGGAATAATAATATCTGATCTAGAGAATCCTGCAGTAAAACGTCCAGCCAGGTTGCTGCATGTTTTCGTATTCATCCAATACTGAGTACAAAAATCACTGATACAGGTACTTTTTTATGCATCATCAAACTTCTGATGTTCCTCCTTCCTTCTATCAGAAAGGCCCCTTCTTTGATTTATTACCCCCCACACATTCCTTTCACTCCTGTTTTGCTTTGTGCTAATAAAAAAGACAATCGCTGGAGCAGAGTCAGAACGGCTGGCAGGAGCCAGGCTGTCAGACTGTGCTTTTCCCTTTTGCAGAAGGCTTAATAGAAAACTTATAAACATTGTCTGTGGTTCTCTTTTTATGTAGGTTGGGAAAATACCAATCATACTTCAATGACATATCAACATGATTTGTATAAAAGTTTCTCCAAATAATTAAGTGCAAAATCAAAACAAAACCTGTTTTGAGGTAAAACTAAGAAGCTGCAATACAAAAATAAAAGAAAATTTCAATAGGAAATATGAAACTAAAGTATTGATCTTTCCAAACTAATATCCATTCGATGTTGATATCGACTTGGTATCAATATTATAGATAATTTGGACGAACCTTCCAACCTCAGTTTGTAACATTAAGCCCAATCTAGGGTTACGCATTGGGAAGTAATCCAAAGAGTACCTGCAGTTCACATCAACAAATAAACTGATTGAATAGACCTAGTCAAAGTCTGAATGTCAATCCCATTGATATGTTGTAGCATGACCAGCCATTTCTGTTTAAAGACCTGCAGGTGTGGCTGAATTAGAACAAGAAAAGTGAATCTGTTTTCCAGATACATTGAATAATGTATCCAGCCAATCAGATTGGTAACTTTCAGTTCTGATCATGTCCAACACAACATTTCTATTTCCAATGGACATGTAGTTAAGGAAATTTAATAGACTACAAAAGCTACTGAGGCACATATATGATTAGATTACATCAAAAATGTAAACTATTGAATCAGAGGGGATGTGCAACACATGTTTCAGATTTTTATTTTTCAAAGAATATTTTTTTTTCCAGTCCACAACTATGCCTTACTTTGAATTGGTCCTTCATAAAATCTCATTAAAATACCCTGAGGTTTGGGGTTGCATAGTGATAAAATGAGAAACTAACATTTGGGGTTTGTGCCTGCTTCTCTTCTCTTCACAGAAATGTAGGAATATTTTTAACATAAACTGTTTCATTAGAAATGCTTTTCTCAATAATTTTAAAACATTTTTTTATTTTTTTTTTTAATGAGAAGTGGTGACAGGGTGTGGTTTAAGCTCTCTTTAAGAATGTGAGGTTCAGGGAACAGAGCCAGAAGAGAGACTGACAAACACAGCGAGGAAACCCTGTGGTTCACGTAGTATCATTCTGAAAAGCATGGAGTGGAGTATTTTTAAAAAAAATGACCCAAACAACAACAAAAAAAGCTTTTCACATTAATACTTTTCAAAATCTTTCCATTTGCAAGTTTATTTTGATATTATCATCTTTTACTCCTGACTTCATTTGACTTCATTTGATGAAAAAACACAAGATGGATTCCTTTTGTTTATTACATATTTTATTTTGGTGTTAGATGCTTTAACCAAGTCCTTCACAAGAGGCAAATTCACTGAGAGGAACTCAAGTCATGTTTTTCTTTTATTTCTGTAGTTAAAAGGGAAATAAGTCATTTCTTCCTTCTGCTTTCACACATATAGTTGACATGGAAGCCATCTCAATGGCTGAAAACAAATCAAGAAAGAAGTGGCAGACCTGAAAGAACATCAAGATCAGGAGAAGGACATTGAATGCGATAGTTTGTAAATAAAAACAACATGGAGAGGCAACACACTAGTGTTCCAGTACATGTGTTCATCCAAGAAATCCCAGTGGACAGGGTGGAGGATACATGGGAAATTACATCAGGCGTGTCAAGAGGCTGGCTTGTGAAACAGTCAGAGGAGGAAGATCATGAAGGAGTCTGACGGGTGAGTCCAGCCGAAGATGGGAGGCATGAGGGGGCAGCTATTCCGTTTTATGATCGGCCTCCTGTTTCTGGCAAGCCTGCTGACCATTTTAATGTGGTACACGCTGGACAACAAGTAAGTTGGCTTTTTCCTTGCTGTGAACTGATTCTGCTTGATTTTGACTGAAGTGGCGCAAGATGCATATGAGGACGATGTGTATTATATCATCGTAATTTACATGCCTAATGTTTCTGCTATTTTTCAGATTTTACTGATAGTTTTTGTTTCCGTAACCTAAAATACAGCATAAAATGTTTTTTCTTTGAGAGTCTTTTCAATCTGAGTCCTGCTGTTGAAGAATATTTTGCACAGCTTTTTCAAATGTTTAAGTATTTTTCCACATTCAGTCAATCTTTGGCGATTTAGCAATTTTAACACAACTTAAACAGAAAGACTCTCACCAGAGTTAAAATTAAAATAAAATAAAAAAAACTGCATAAACCTGGAAAACATATAAAATCACACACAGTGTAGGATGAAGTTAAAGCTGCAGTATATAAAGGACTGTGTTAATCAATTTGGTGTTTTTTTCTCTGATTGGTGTCCCAGAAATTTGAAAATTCGCAGACACCTGCCCAAAATGAAAATTGTCCCCCGGTCTACTGATTCCTGCAAAAACTGTGGGTAAGAACTGTTGGAGCCTTTTTTTGTTTTGTTCCATTTCTGCCCTATGTATACTGACCAAATCTCTTTATTCATTTGTTGCAGAGAGAGTATAAAGAAAGCATTGGATATTTACTACAAAATCTGGAGAAAACAGGAGGACAGTTTCAAAAATTTTAGGTAAAAACCTCTTTTGTTAAATCATTTTGATGATTTTAGACATTTTCTTTGTCTTGATTGTGAAAATAATCTGAGAGCTGAGTTTACGAGTATGTGTGAGGTGAGGACTCAGTTTTAGCTACTAGTCTTACTGCATCAGCTTGTCTTTAAAAAGTATTTAGAGATATGTAACAACAAAACTCATTCAGAACAAAACGTCATTTTTGAGGGAAATATATGATTTTCCGAAAAAGCTAATCAAAGATTTGGGTAAATCCAAAGTATCTGGTAAGGACAACTGGAGGACAACTCTCTCCAGTTGTTCTTGAGTAAAGGATGGGACTGAGCATCCTTTACTGGCTGTGCAGAGTTTGACTATGAAAGAGGAAAGAAAATTGATTTGGACATGCTTTGGATAGGTAGCTAAATAACTCCTGATTCACCAACACAGCCCTGCGCTTAGTCTAGCTTCTCCACCAACTTGTCAGGGTTGAGTGAAAAGCTGAGCTCTTTCCATCAATGACGCATGCAGATTATTCTTCAGTATCATCAACTGCTGACCCTGATTTGTCCACAAGCTTGTTCGTTTTCTGCAGTGAGCCATCTGGACAAGGCAGAGAACCCAAAGAGATTTCTATCTGCTTTCTGTATTTAGGTTCTGCTTTTTTTATCGCATCATTGTGGGGTGTGGGTGTTTTTAAGCCTTTTTGTAAATGTTCTCTTGTGGAAACTTTCTCTCCTTCTAATGAGCTTGTGGCAATTCATTACCCATAGTCGATTTAAAAAGACACATATTAGTTTATTTTTCCCACTGTCTGTACAAGTTAATGCAGACCAAACTTTTCTTATTTCACGTCAGTTAGAATTACCAAAACTATTTCTATTTGCTAAATTTCAGAAAACATCTAGAGTATTCTCTAGATATTCTTTTTGTAACTTTCCCCAAGTTTGAGAGTTTTCATACATTTGGTAAGAATCAGGAATAAATGTCTTTTAAAATGTATAATTTGGGTCAAACCTTTTTGGGCTTTATTCCTCAAATGTGACGGGCTGACTGTCACATTTCAGTGAATTGGAATTGCACGTGGATGTATTTTAAACACACTACTTTCTTACTTGACATGATTGTAAAGTCAAAATAAATCAGCCAAGAGATGATGAAGAACTGCACAAGTCTGGTTTGTCTTTAGGAACAGTTTACAGACACTTGAAGGTGTCGCATTCATCTGTTCAAACAATTATAAGCAAGAGAAGACATAATGAGAATGTCCATCATGCCAGCGGGTTTTGTGTCCCAAAGACGAATGTGTTTTGGTTCAGAATGTGCAGATTTACCTCAGGACAAACGCCAGAGGTGTCATGTAGATGCTGCGCGAAAATCTTAATCTTAATCTTTAGTTTCAACATGTCTGTTGAAACTAAAGTGGAACTGCTTGGCCATCATGACCATCGTTATATTTGGAAGGAAAAGCATGGCTGCTTGTACCATCCTAACTGTGAAGTACATCATGCTTTAGGGCTGTTTTGCTACAGACTCCATATAACAGATGCCATCAGGAGTAAAGAACAATAAAATGAGCAAGAAAGTTGGAGAAATCAGTGTCAGAAGTTGACGATACCGAAGAATAATCTGCATGCATCATTGATGAAAATCCGTGTGGTTTTAATCAGTGAATGTACATATGTGGTTTCAACTGTATATTTAGAGATGCAATGTTTTCAGTGGAAAGACTGATTGTCTGACTTATGTTGACTTGGATTGTTTACCAAGCTTTTCTCCGTAAGTTCTACAAAGGCATTGACCTCTGTCCTTCTCCGGCCTACGCTGTATCCGGTTTTCAAACTGAAACTTTTTGGTTTCTCAGGTGTCTTAGTATCCTTATTTACCCTCTTCTATTGGAATCTTATCAGATGGATTATGCCTTCTTAGCGAGACAGAAAGCCCCGCCCCTTACAAAGTAGGCATGACCATGAGGATGATAATCCTTGAGGAGAGATATTTGAGCATCATAGTAAGGCAGATATATTGTATAGTTTTAGTTTATCATAAACCAAACACCATGGCTTTGATTTCTGCAAGATCCATTTTCATGTGAGAAATCCAGAAGGCAGAGAGGGAACCATTGTATTCTCTGAAGTAGTTAAATAACTCATTGAAACATACCAACTCATTGATTCAGCTCATGTTACATTGTATGCAACATGAGCCGAAGTCTGAAGTTTCCCCAGGGTTTCCTAAAACCTGGGCTTTGATACTCGCTCACACAGGCTGCCAATTTCTTACAGTCTCCTCAAAGTAATAAAATCTTCAAGATGATTCTCTTCTAATCAGGGATAAACTATTTCCAGGCTAGTGTCAGGAAAACCTTCCAGAGAGTTTTGTAGAAACATTTTGCTCTGTTATGTCTGTGACCATAAACAACCCTACTTTAATAAGTACTTTACTTTATTCCAGGATGACAAATTTCACATAATTAGTGACATAGAATCTAGTAGCTAAGTGTGATTTTATCCTAGGACTTTTAATACTGACCATGTACTAATTTCTACTTGCTTTGACAACCTTTGACTTAAGACAAGTTCAAATAACTTACTTACATTATCTAATAGCTATGTGATAGAAATTATCTACTAAACTGAGTTTACGTAGTTATTTTCATCTTAGAATCATATCCTGTAAACTAATCTGTAAATTAAATTATATGACATTTAAGCATCCTACAGTATCCTATAAAAACAACTAACTGTAAAAAATAAACTTATATGTGATGGTTTAAGTACATAGATTTTGTTTCTGAAAAACCCACGACTGCTTCACTTGTTCCTTAAAAAATTGTAAAACTTCATTAAAAATATCCATCTTCCTCTTGCTTTGAACTAGGCTGCCTCCAGCAGCAGACAGAGTGGTACAGTCTGTGTGTTGTTTGACTTTACAATGCTTGATTTTACATTATACATGCAATGAATGAAGTCTTTGTTATTACCCAGTCAGCAGCTGAGCAGCAGGTGCCATGGGTTAGATAAAGCCATCATTAGCCAAATGAACACTCCACTGGGATCGAAGCTTGTTTATGATGGGGAAAAGAAGAGGACGGCTCAAATAAATGCAGAGATCTTCAGCACCTTCCCAAAGGTGAGTTATTTCTGTTTCTTTAATGTTGTTAAAATACAATCAACATATATGTTGAGGAAAGGCTTCAATAGACTTTTCTAAACCAGTATCAGCACACAGGCATTGATATACATTACTGGATTTGTCAATATACAAACAATTAACCAATAATTTAGTTTCACATAATTGCCACTTTTAAAATTAGGATAAAAAATTAGCTTAGCTTTACTGTGGCTTCTATACTCTATGAAGTATTTCATCCGATGTCATGATTGTTTTGAATGTCGCCACGTTTTACAAACAACGGAGGCAGTTAGTCCAGTTTTTGTCGTTTATTAAACTTTTTAATATTACCGTCGCTCCAGTGTACTACAACAAAGGGAAAATAACGCTAACAAATTACTTGTATTCTGCTTTTTCTCACTCTCTTTGTCAGATTTAATCTACATGCAGCCCACAAATTAGAGATTAAGTTCAAGTGTATCAAGAACATCAACACCAAAAAGCACTCAAACATTTTTCACACATAAAACCCCCAAACAGAACATTCGGGCTGTTACAGTTTAATATTTTAAGTACTACTTTTTAAATTGATATTAATGAGTTATTTGCTTAAAACAAACTCCAATATCTTGTTGTAAAATTATTTTAAAGTTGTCTTTGTCTTAAATCAAATGTACTAAGATATTTGCACCAAAACTGGACCAGATATACTTAGTAGGATTTAGTGTTTTTGCAATGTGGCCACAGCAATGTACAAGTATGAATTATAAATATTCAATCAAAATTGATGTGAGGAAACAAAGATTTACTGAAATTACAAATCCATACAAGTAAACATAAAAAACCCCAGTTTAGTTAAAGCCAAGGTCAATATCCAGAAGTCAATGACAAACACAACTAAAAATAAAAAATGTCAACAAATACTTCCAACACTTCATTTCGTACAATCATTTCCATTTCCACATCATGATCTAATCTTTAAATTTTGATTCCAGGTTAGTCCTTTCTCAAACAAAACAAGGGCCTCCTGTGCCGTTGTTGGGAACGGCGGCATCCTGGCAAACAGCCAATGTGGAAAAATGATTGATTCAGTTGAGTTTGTCATCAGGTGACAAATATGTTCCAGTTGAGGTACTCTATAATTACGGTTATACTGCATACATTCCAGGTAACAGCTTCTGTGTTTATTTTGTATTGAAGGTGTAACCTACCTCCTGTTTCAGACGGATATGAGAAACATGTGGGTAGAAAGACAAACCTTGTGACAGTAAACCCAAGCATCCTCTTAGATAAGTGAGCGAGTTTATGAATTTCAGAGGTAATTTATAACCAGTTTGTCCTATACAACCATCTGTCTTCATATGTGCTTTATGTCTGTAGATACGGGTCTCTAATGAAAAGCCGCCGTCCTTTTGTGGAGACGTTGCGGAACTATGGTGACTCCATTATGCTTCTTCCTGCCTTCTCCTTTGGTATGAGCACCCCTGTGTCTCTGCGGGCTTTCTACACTGTTGAGGACTTTAAAAGTCCCATCCAGACTCTCTTCCTGAACCCACAGTACCTTGAGAATCTGGCCGTCTTCTGGAAATCTCAGGGCTTGAAGTCGCTACGGCTGAGCAGTGGCATCATGATGACAAGCCTGGCGCTGGAAATTTGTGACGATGTGCATCTGTACGGATTCTGGCCCTTCAGTATTCACCCACACAGCTTCCAAGACTTGAGTAACCATTACTATGATAATAAACCAGCTAAAAAGAACCTCCATGCCATGCCCATGGAGTTCAACCTACTGCTGAACCTGCACACCCAAGGTGTGTTACAACTACACTTGGGGGACTGTGAACCAGGTGATTATTATTAGTCTTGGAGGAAAAAAGATTAATCTATCAAAACACGTAATTTTCTTTTGAATGAAAGGTTTTTATAATAAGATAGATGGTACACACCCAGAGGGAACATAAGTTTTCTGTAATTTGTATAAAATTACACTGCCAAGAAACGGTTTAGTTTCTTGAACATTGGAAACCTTTGGATAATTTTTATGTATGTAGATTCTATAATGGTGACATAAAACCCTGTCGATGTCTACTCAGGTTTGTGCCTTTAAAGGAAATGTATTATGAAAATATACATTTTGCACATTTTTGTACTTCCATATGTTTTTTTTTTTACTGCTTTTAAAAATGTCCAAGCACTAAAAAAAAACCATCCAGCTCTTTTATGGCAAAAATGTTCATGTTTTTTGGTGTTTGAAACATAAGAAGTTAAAAAAAAAAATCCTCCACAATGTGAAGTAACAAATCAGCAGGAACAAAGTTGTACAATTGAGCATCTGCTCTATTATACAACTGATCAGATGCTCACATGAGTCTGACCTTTGAGTTGGGAGATGTAGCCAGTAGCAACTTATATGGGTTTATCAATTAATCAATCAATCAAGTTTATTAGTATAGACAATTTCAGCAACAAGGCATTTCAAAGGGCTTTACGTCATAAAAACAGAAAAATACAAAGTCATAGAATGCAGTCAACAATCGAAATATTACTTTTTCCCAAATGCTGTCATATTACACATCAAAGTGTCCGTTAGTGTTTCATTTACTATGCCATTTAAAGTGACAAGAGGCCTTAAAACAGCTCATTCTGAAATGTCATGATCTAAAAATAAGATTATGCCCCAAAAAATAAAAAATAAAAATGGCATTTATTATGTTTTGTGTACTGCATAGACCTACCCTAACCTGTTTAAATGATAGGGCACTTTTAAACAGTTTTCCACAAATACAATAATATAAAGAATATTATTTCTATAAGTGCCTGACCTCTTGTGAGAACCATTATCCACAAAGGGAAGAAACAGCAATGAGCCGTCATGGCTGACCAAACAAAAGTATTCCAACAGGGCATCAATGATTCTCTAACGTTGAATAGCATTTTCCCACTAATAAATATAATAATTTCAAAATTACTTTTGAAACTGGTGATTATTATTACTCAGGACATTTTTGCCTGATTTATTTGATTTTTTGAACTATATGAGTTATTAATTGTTTTTATTTTGGTGGAATGAACCAAATTTCTATTGGAGAAAATAAAGCAAAGCTGAATGTTCAAACTTATTTTGCATATCTATTTATATTATCTATATTTGTATTTATATCTAAGTGGAAAAGACACATTGCATGTATCTCCAATTAGCCAAACTCAAGAAGGTTAGATTGACCAAAAGGCTGTTGCCTAATGAGGGAGTATGAGTTTTTCCTTTTATATCTAATTTTTGAAAAAATGGAGATATAATAATTAATTTGAACAAGCTATGACACTATGAAGTCAGAATCTCAGGGGAAAATACAGAGGTGGGAATGAAGCTTTATTTTTATGCAAAAGGTGCAACAAACTTTTAGTAATTGTTACCAGTAGGTGGTGCTATTTACTGCTTAGAGAGGAGGCTTGACATGGAGAGACTCGGAATGTAAAGATTTAAGTGTTAAGTTAACAAAATGGTTGTAGTTTCTGATCATAAAGTTTCTCTGTATTTGTAAAATTTGTCTCAAATGTTTGCAGTCACATTTTGTTTAGAGAAGTGTCAAAATTACACAGATCTGTTTCAACAGCCCAGCCCATTATTCTAAGGAACGCTAATGAAATATCCTGGTGGCGGCATCAAGATCTGTTGTTAAATCTATACTGAGCCAGAGGAAATTATGAGTTGTTAAAGTGGTAGCATTATGTCTGAAACATTCCCCTCCATCACAGATTAGTTTGTATTTCAGTTGAATTTCACAGGTTTATTAAGTTTTGCATATTTGAGTGTCTTAAGAGGGGTGTGGACATTTTTAAGGGGGGTGTCACTTTGCATGTGTCACTTTGAAAAGTACATGCAAAATGACACATATACTTTGCAAGAGTATTTTTATATGGGCATTTTAAGCTCAGCTGACGTCCTCTTATTCATTTGATTGCTGCTAGTTAACAATTTCTACAATATCATGAAATGATATATGTCTGTATTTATTAAAAAATAAACTTTGTCAAAGGTTTCAGAGAATGACTGACTCACTCAAATACATTGCCAAAACAAAACAACCTAAAATGACTTCCAGATACTTTCTGGAAGAAAGGAGGTCGCCGAGTCCTTCCAGATATAACAGTTTAGAATGAGATAAAAGAAAACAAAATTCTTTATCTCATCTAATTATTTCTTTTTTTTATTTGGTTTCTCATGGCTCACAACTGTTTTAATTTAACATTAACTATATGTAAAATCTACACCAGAAATTAAGCAATCACAATAGTTAAACATTAAACTGGAATGAAGCCTGTGTGCCGATGTGCCGATGTGCGTTCTTACAACAGGTTTTGTGGGAGGAGGGGGAAGTAGCATGAAATCATCCGAGGTATGAGACCGTTCAGGAACAGCTTCAAAATTCTCCAATGCAGAAAAGCAGACGGAAAGTGAGAGGAAAAATTAGCAGAAATAGAAAAGGATGAGGGGAAGAATTTTAACTTCAATCGTCTTTATTGGGGAGTTTGCTGACTCTGGTGTGGTACTTACAGGTCATCAGGTAAGCAACTTAAAATCTTAGAAGACAAAAACTCAAGTTTTCTGCAATAAAAAATGTGTTGGTTTATTGGCAAAGAACTTTGGTTTTACAAGAGGTAATTCAAAAGTAACATGCTTAGGTTTTTTAATCATATTCACACAACATTTTATTTATATGATTAGAAATTCAGTTTCTTCTTCTCTGATTAACAGTTGTTCTTCCAGGAGAAGAGAAACATACTTCAGGAAAATTTTCAGACAAAAACAGCAACTTTATTTTTTATTATCACTGTAATAATGCTACTGTGACTGTCAGAGTGATGAGAAGGACAATTTTTGTGGCAATTGCATAAAATATAACATTTTGATAGAAAATTTCTGAACTACTTGAATAATGTAATAAATAGGCTGAGGTGGACAAAGTACTCAGTTTCACTAGTTGAGTCAAAGTACTGATCCTGCTAGTCAAATATTAGCAGGATTATGGATTAAGTTCTGAATATGCATTTTGAAAATACATGTTTTTTTTTTTTTTTAGTTATTTAACAACACATTTCACTTGAGGGTTGTTGAAAATATTTGGGTAAATTGTCTGTTATATATTGGACAGAATAGTAACTGCAAATATAAATATAAATAATAATAATAATAATAATAATAATAATAATAATAATAATAATAATAATAATAATAATAATAATAATAATAATAATAATAATAATAATGCATTGGTCTTACATAGAACTTCTGTAAACACTCAGACGCTTTGCAATTTTATAAATTTTTCATTCACTTCCTCAGTTACAGTAAAGTAGAAGTGTACAATCACACCAATATATATATTAATAAAGACGTTGGTGATCGATTTAGTGCTCTCCCTGGACATAGTGATAATTTTGGACTTGAATCAGCAGCGTTCTGGTTGCAGGATAAGTACCTGCCCTTTCTACCCATAAAATATTCCTAATCATACCTTTTTTACAACTCAGCTACTTTCCAGAGAATCTATGCTTAAAGGAAAAGGATTAAAAATTGTTTTACAGACAGTCATAAGTGACTCATTCAGAAACTCTAAGTTGGGAAAGTATGACATGCTGAGCTGTAGTTGGTATTTGAAATCTGTGAACCAGCTCCTTTAAACGAAAATAACATTTGCTGCGGTAACCTTGAAACACTTTTGCACAAATACAATTCAACAAAGTGTATTTAGTAGAAATCCATCAATAGAATAAACGGACTAAAGTCTTACATGAGCTTTATCCATGTTAGAATCAGAAGACCTTTTGTCTGCATCAAAAGGGTTTTTATTTCAGCCAATTCAAACAAAGGTGTGTTGCATAAAGATGCTTTTATAATTGTGTAATGGGTTATTCCGTGAAATGTGCTAAATAGGCTACATTACAAAGACGTTAGAAAACCTTCTCTATAACTGTCAGAGCTGGTGAAGGAAAAATAATAGTTTTTTTTATATAACAGCTAAAGAAATCGCAGAATTTCTGACAAATGTGTGTGTATGTGTTTATCATTTTGCTGATGTTTTTTCTGCTTTTTGTGGGGTATCATAGCAATGGGGAAAGTAACCAAAACCAGCAGCAGATGAGAAGCGCACCTAACACCGTTGCTTCTTGTGAAAACTGCGGGTGAGAAAAGAAACATCTGCAGCTATTTACTTTAGCAGTCTGTTTGTTCGAGTCCAAATCACATAAAGATACAAGATATCACCATAGAAAATAACAGCTTCCTTTGTTGTTGAATTTGTCTTTGTTTTCCAGAGAGAAAATTAAGCAGGCATTAGAGATATACTCTGAAACCTGGACAAAACAAGACTTCAACTACGAAAAATTTAGGTAAGGACTTTTTCTATCACCTCATTATGTCATTGTAAATTAATGAATTTGGCTGTCGTTAATGTACCCCGAAAGAAAATATTTAGCATGAGTTTTTTGTGATTTCACAGGTTGGACCTGAGAGTGAACGTCAATGGTTTTGATAAAGCCGTCATAACCCAGACGAACACTCCAGTGGGATCCAGGCTTGTTTATGACGGTGAGAGGAACAGGATTTTGAATGTGACCCAACAGATGCACGACTTATTTCCAAAAGTAAGTTGTTTTCTTACAACGCATCATGTCTTGAACCTCATGGTTCTTTTGTTTTTTCTTGAATATTCTTCCTTAGAAACAACAGAGCCGTCTCTACCTTTGGTGACATGGGAGAGATAATGGTTTAATGCATATTTATTGGCACATCAAATGTCTCCCAGATCTTTTGTTTTGTTGGTGTGCCATGTAGATAGATTATAAAGGCCTATGAAAGTCCTATCTTTCACCCTTATCAACGATCCGACTTTGATGAGGGACTAGCATAATAGTTTATTGGGCAAAAACCACACAGTCATAGTCCTTCAACAGACTATTCCTGACAAGTTCCCAATATTCAACAAGCTACAAGCTAAAAATCACAAAGAACATGGGAGGGACAAAGCTAATATTTACATCAGGTCTATTTCTCACCAGTAATACGAGAAGATCCAATCATATAATCTCCCTCTGAGTTTTTTTAGAATATTTAGACAACGACAAAATAATTTTTAGAGAATTCTTGTA